CAGATAATATTATTATAAATAATATATATATATTATTGTATTATAGCAGAGAATTCACATGAGGGTGGAAGAGAGAGAGGCATTATGCATGTCCAGAACTGGGAAGTGCCTATGAGTTTCTTTATTAGGCACTTTGGTACCTGTCTCTTGGACATAATGGAGCTGAAGCCCAGCTTTGCTTCTGCTGCTGCCTGCGGAATGCTTGGTCCTTAACACTCCTCAGATTCCCTGGTGATGGAGGTCTTGTAAATTCCTAGGTATTCCATCAGGCATTCATTCTTACATTACATTGAAATACTTCTGTGTTTTTCCTTCTAGAAGCTTGCCTTGCTGCTTGGGGCTTGGGCTCATGAGTAAGGTCAGTGAGCGTGTCCAATCAATAGCTTATTTTTTCAGGAGAGAAGAGCTATGTCCCTACCTGTGCACAAAATGGATGAAAGCCTCTTCTCTGGTCCTAAAGGCAGGTCAAGACATGGCTGGTATTTGTTAGCCTAAATTCTCCTCTGCTCCACAGCAGAGCAGTGTGGTCTTATGCTGCTCATGGAGATGGTGCCTGGCCTGTGCAGCCCTGTGCCTCGCCTTTGTCCTGCCCATTTATGTGCTGTCTCTCATGAGCATGGTTTGGGCCAGCGCAGTGTCCACTGATGTGTGCACAACCGAGCACTTCTGTCCTGGCCTTCCTTAACTTTTCAGCAGTGCTGTAACCAAGAAAGCTGATGCTTCAACTTAGTATTTTCTGTACTATTGGGTGCAAACTGCCAAGAGAGGAATGATTTTATTCTGCTCAGTGACCTTGGCCAGGACACTGGTTGGCTTGCGTTATGTCAGGAACCTGCTAGATCCCTGTCTCTTCAGCAAACTGCCAATGCCAGCGTGGAATAAAGTGCTCTGTGAAGGGAGTTGTACCAGAGGTACGACTGTCATTTTTTACATTTGCAGAAGATGTTGATTTGAAGCCCTTATCAGGGGGGAGTTGTATTTTCAGTGTCTGACCCTTCCCATACTGTGATAAACAAACTTGAAGCGAAACTTTATCAAGGAATAGACTGGAATAAACCGCTAATACAAAGGTGTAAGAAAGCCAAGAGGATCCAATGACTCCCTCACTGTCACAAAGAAAGGAACTGTTACAAGGATCAGAACTACAGAGATCGCACTGAATGCTTTCTGAGAGATCTGTGTTGCTTTCTAAGGCTGCTCTCAATGTTTATTGGTCTTCAACCAAACCGTAATAAACCTGATAAAGACTTCATCAAGAAAGGTGAAAGAAAATGCCAGTTTTAATGCAACATTAAGTCCTTTTTCCCCACAAGCCCACTTTTGCTCTCTTTCTCTTTCTTACCACTTGGCATAAAGAGGATCAGGTTTACGATGCTTTTTAAAAGACCTAGGTCCAAATCTTTAACCTTTTCACAGTACAGAGAAATTGACTGTCTTTATATTTTGTTGTTTGTGATGGATTTAATTATCTATGAGGTACTTAAAAGCATTGTGGTACTTTGTCCTTAGTTAAACCTTTCCAATAGCTTCCTCTTTCCTTGTCTACTGTGATTTGGTAATTGAGCTACTTAGCAGTTGTGTTTCCGTGTGTTATATGTATCTGAATAATATCACAGTTGGAAATGGAAAGCGCTTTATAAATATCCCCTTGTTCTTTTTGTTCACATAGATTTCCAAAGATATTTCTGAATTCCCTGCATTTCTAGGTACTTCTATGGAGCAAAAACAGAGAAAACATGCACAAAGATGATCTTTTTTCAAAATTTACCTTCTTGTGTAATAACTGATAAAAAGCAGTTTGTAAAGTACCTGGCTGTATACAGTGAATCTTATTTGGTGTGGGGTTTATGTTGGATATCAGAACATGTACAGCAATAAAAAAAAAAAAAAGCACAATTTTTTTCTCCTAGCTGTCAAGGTATTGAAAGTATAAAGGCATCACAGTGAATATTTTTGTTTGTAGTAGAACATGCCTTTAGAACTTACTTTTAGCATTTAACTATGTTCTATTTATTGGCTTTTTTTTTTGTTGCAGCTTTTTAACTCCTATGCGCAGCTAGTGTCTGATACATTTACCTACTGTGCTATAAAGAGAATGTTACAAAGTGCCAAAAGATCTAGGGGAAAAGTGCTGGTTCCACTGAAACTGCAGGAAGTATTATCTTCTTCCCACTTTTCGGTACCTTTCTAACATCCAACCATTTATATAATACTGTGCCTTAAATTCTGTGTTATTTTCCCATGGTGACACGATGGCCATGACAAAGGTTGAGGCCATCAGTGGCTCCTAGCGCTACCTCCCGTGCTGTATTTTCTTTCATAGCCATTCTGCTGTTGCCAGACAAAGTTCTATTCATTTATCTCCCCGTATCAGTTTCCTGATTTGCTGTCCAGTAATTTATGACTGCGTGGAGCTTTGGTGCTCATTACGCTGCCCGGTGACCCTTGTGACCCACCCCTCCTCCCCACCTACTCTCTGCCATCTTAGCCCCTGGGCTAGTTGTTACTGCTGCAAGATGGAGGGCCTCTGTCCGTGCCAAGGTGAATAAAAGGTCACCAGCCCCGTCTTGCACGGCTTTCAGTATGTGACATCATGGGTCAGTACAGTGGCAGTGCAGTGCTGTATCATGAAAGGTACTTCAGCAGAAGAAAAAATAATACAGCAGAAGGCATGTGCTACTAAAGACTGAGCAACCTGTCAGGATAGAATCATAGATCCGTAGGATCATTAAGGTGGGAAAAGACCTCTAGGATCATCAGGTCCAGCCGTCAGCCTGTCACCACCATGCCCAGTCACTGTCCCCATGAGATGCTGGCCAGGAGGTTGCCACACTTTGCTGGTGGCCTCTAGCTCTGCTGCAGCGATGGAGCAGGACCCTCCTGGCCTTTTTAGGCTTTTTTCTGGGTATCGTGTCTGTTGCAGAAAAATTAACAGATGAATAAAGAGAAACACACAAATAATTCACCCTTTATTGGTTTACTGTGAGGGTAATTGCAGGTCAGTTATAAACCTGTGAGGGCCTGCTTGGGAGTAAAAAACGAAATGAACTGATCATCTGGTGGCTGACGCTTAAATAGAGCTCTGTTGGAAACTCTCCTTGCCTGAAGAAAATTGAAATGTCAGTATTTCCTTTATTCTGCATCGATAGCTGTTGAAGGCTTTTGTGCTAGACTGAGGCCTATAGAGGCGTGAGCAGGGGGTGTAAAGTGTTGCCAACAACTTCATCAGCAGAGCGTTCAGGTACAAGGCAACACTTGGCTGACACACATCTTTTGCAGAGTGAGAATTTCATTCTGTTCATAAATACAAACTGAAGTATTATTTGTATTACCAAATGAGAGCATGGTTGGTGGCTGGGCGGTTGGTGCTGGTGGAATTTTGAAAGGCATTTCATCTTCAGTGATGAATTTTGATGGTTTTCTGTCAATTAGAAAGTTGAACTGTGATTTTTCTCTTCCATCTTTTCACCACCTGAGCTATACTGAGAATATAAAAGGCTGTGTACAGGGGGAAGGCGGAGAATGAGCAGGAAGGGAGAAGGGAGTAGTTTCCTTTCTAATGGCTTTAACTATTTGCATCAATAGTGCAAATTAGTTTGCTTTTTCATCAGGATTGATTTGATTGTAATTTTTTTGCTGTAATGTAGATCTCCGGTAAAGGTATCACGGTGCCAATTATGCGGAATATATAGAATGTGTAAAATAAATCTGCGGGGATTTGCATGCATGAGCTTATCAACTGTTGGTTTTGCTGTTATTTGTTTGTTTGTTTTTTAAAAAAGGACCGTAACTTCCAAAAATGCATCCCCTCCCTAATGCAACGTACAAAGATCCCCTTAGATAGTTCCCCCTTGGAACTCCTGGGGAAATGCGTTTTCCTGGCAGTGTAATGTCCCTTAACACAACTCCTGCAGCTCGGACCCGGTGTCCTGCTGTGACAGCCACAACCATGTGTGCTGCTGATTGTTAGGGGGCAATATGAACCTGATTGGAACATGCCTGCTAATTGGTTTGAGAGCGAGATATAGACAATGCTGTCTTATAGCAGATTGTGTAGATAGGCCTAGTCAGAGGGTTAATTCTGCTTGACAGCACATCAGCAGCATCTTGAGAGTAATTACCCAACTTAAGTTTTCCCACAGTTGAATTGAGATCTTCAAAGGCTTCTACATTTACAAGTATTATTAACCTATATCTGAAACATGATGTTCCCACAAGGGCTAATTTTTTCTTCCTTTTATTAAATATACAGGTTATAGGGTTCATTTGCTAAGTGCTAAGCCCTTAGAAGAAAACACTGCTTGTTAGAGAGAGAGAAATCTGTAGTGCACGACCAAAGCAAATGATGCATAATGCACACATCATTGTCTTTTTGCAAAGACTTTAAAACAAGTTAAAATTTAGGTCTGGCTCCCTTCCTCTCTCCTTCTCTTCCACCCCCTGCTTTCCACTTTTAGGAAAATCAAACCACTTATTCCTATGTGCAGAGTGAGTAAATTGAAGACACACACAAACAAAACCCTCCTAGGATGTTGTTCAATTAAGTGCAGATCATTGGATACAATACATATGACATTAATGAAATGGTATCTGCTGCAAAAATAGATTGGAAACATTCATGAATAAATCAAATCCTGTTAATGACTTTTTAAAAATGAAAATGAATGAAAACAATATTTATTTGTTAGGAACAACAGTATGTCATGAGTAACAGCATATAGTTTAATCCTGTTTTAAATTTATGTTCTATTTTCTGCATTCATTTTGCGATTTGTCTTTGAAAATATCGTCTTTGTAACAGTCCATTGTAAAAGCCCCAAATATTAAGAATCTTATTTATCTTTTAGGTTCAAATGCTATTGAATGCGTTAAATATTAACACAAGCAGGCAGATAGCTTTGTTAAACACAATATTTGCTAGGAGGGTATCAGTCTGTCGAAAGCCTTTTGTGGCATGAAGCAGATCTTGTAACTTGTGATCTTTTTATTTTCTTTTGCAGGTCAGAAACGAAGTTTGACTCCAATTCAGGTATGTTTAGATTTACAGTGTTTTGCTGAATGTACACTACTCGGGTTAATCTCAAAAGAGTAGTTTATCAGTTCAAGTTCAGTTTAGTTTTAAACAAACTGGGGTAGGTCAGTCTTAAAAAGGATCTTCATTTCTCACCCTCTGCAAACAGCGTCATTACCGTGAAACATTTGCTTTCGTTCCTTTCATTATACCCTGTCTTTTTTCCCCAAAAGATGATCAGGAAGATGTATCTCCCGATGGACTTTAATTGATCCGGAAAAATTATAGAACAAAAAATGATAATGCAGACTAAAGCAAATGGAGGACTGAAGTGAAGTTTTGAAAATGATCGCTGCTTTAAAGGGGAGTGTTTTTCTTCCTGGTGGACAAAGACATTTCATGGGAATTTGAAGTCAGTGCAGCCTATCTGTCAGGAAACAGATGATTTGTCATCAAATTTTCATGACAGATGCATGTACACAATGCATGCCAGACCAGTCTGTAGGGCTCTCTCTAGGAGGTTTACCAAAAGGCAATCTCTCTCAAGTTGTCTTTTTAAAGAATTTTAATGTGTGGTAGGGATTGAGAGGGAAGTGAAGGTCAGCCTAACAGGTTAATGTGTATCTAACAAGACAAAAAACACAGGACAGCAAACAGAAGAACAGTTGGGAGAAAAACAGAGCTCCTAATAGCAGACTGCTACTTACTCGGTTAACTATTCTTGGGCATTCCTTAATGTTAAACAACGTAGATTAAGAATAGTCTGTTGTCCTGAAACTAGCTGAAATGCCCATTGCCTGAAATGATCGCTCACAATTTATTTTTTGTTAGGATGGAAATGACTTTTTAAACTGAAAGCCTGGTATTGTAGCAATCTTGTGTTCAGGCCAACCTTGTGTTTAAGTTATCTTCTATATGATTTGCTTAATGCGGTGGTTGTAATTGCTTATAATGATATGAATTTTACAATATATATTACTCAGATTATTTATGAAATAGCATGTTCCCTTTTATCCCAGCTGCAGCATGAGTTGGGTTTGAAATGTGAGGTATTACTTTGCTTTTTCTTTCCGCGCTAGATTTTATCTTTGGAACTGTATGGGAGTGAAATCTACAGCAGGAAGCATTTATATACCTAATTCCTACATCTTGTATACTTGAGTCATCTTGCTTCTATTATGATTTTCGTCAGAGAGTTCAAGGTTACTTGAGTGAACTGTATGCTAAGATTGTTTCTTAGATCAGTTTTACAAGGGAAGATAGCTTCACGCATTTTGTGCCGTCACCTCCTTTCCTTGTTAATAACGACACCAATACCGGGGTGCAGAGCAGGATGACAAATGTCTCACTATTCTCTGAAGGAGAAAATGCTATCTGTGGAACTCCGGCTTGCTCAGGGGGTTAGGCTGCAAACACTCTTCTGACATTTTCTTTGAAGCAGCACTCCCACCATGAGCCGTGGCCATGAATGTGGGGCTGTGGGATCTCCTTAGGAGCACAGAGTATCCATGCACTTTCGGCACCATCACTGCAATGGCAAACGCCTGCTCAGTAGATGTCACCTCTCTTTCTGGGCTCTGTAGGCTGAGTGTGAGCTCTTAAATGTCTCTTCTTCATCTGTGTGGGGCCCACAGGCTTTCTTTCCTTGTGTATGGGCTGTCTTCTACCATTACTTACTGGAAAAGCCTGGTTGCCCAAGGACTGGCTGGCAAGCACTGCTCTGCCTCGCTGCTCTTCTGAGCAAGCATTGCTTGTACATGGTCAGATGCTGCAGTAGGAAATTTGGAAGTCAGGACCATTTATTGTAGATCACACAAAAAATATGTAAATAGAAATGATCTCTGTCTCTACAATTTTTGCTGGTCCTAAATATTCTTTGGACTTGCACCAGGATTCCTTGCACCAGGTAGTCAGCTAACTTTGTTTTGCTGAATGTTGACAGGCACCACTGATGTCACCAGGAGTTTAAAGCCTTAAGTGCTGTGTTGCTTTTCACTTTGGAGTGCTTTGTATGCGTATCATCAGGGATGCAATACAGGAACGTTCCAGGGCTGAGAAACTTTTAAGATTTATTCCTCCTTCTGCAGTGCCTCACTTTCACACTCTGTTTGTGATTCTTTCCCCTAAGCCCCTGAGGAAGATGTTGGTCAGAATAGTCCTACCATGGGACATCAGCCATCTGCCAAAGTTTTGAAGGCTCTGGCTCCCAGTGCATGGCCATGTGGATGGCTGACAGCCCAGGATGGGCTCTGGCTCTCATTCTGTTCTTTGCCATGAATGTTATCCTTGGAATTGAGAACTACAGACTTTTAATGACTTGGTTTTATCAGTGCTGCCTCTTTTGGTGTCACATCCAAGGATAGTTGTTAGAAGATAATAGAAAAAGCAGATTAAGCAAACAAAGAGGAATTTTAAGAAAAAAAAAATCACAGAAAGTTCATAACCTTAAAGTCACTTCACAGCTGGAAACATCAAGACTGAAAAAACCTTTATCTTTGTGAAAAGGACAGCAGCCTGTCCTTGGGATGGTGCTCAGTTATTCTACAGAGCTGTTCTTGATGGTCAGATAGTATAAGCACTTAGAGTTTATCTTTTGTTGCCAGAAAGTGAGAGAGGCAGAGAAATGGAGACACTGAGGTCAAGTCAACATGTGTCACCCAAATAAAATACCACTGATTTGGTTTCTCCACTAAAAAATTTACCATCGCTTTCCCCAAAGCAGACGTTAAGCTCAACCCTTCTGCTGCCCCTGGGCAATCAGGAGAGTCAAGGCAGAGAGAGGAGGTATGCACTGGTGGTGACAAAGAAGCATCTTTGCAAAAAATTCTCTTTCTTGTATGAGGGGATGTAATGCCCTGTGTAGCACTATGTTCTGCATAATGCATGCCTTTGAGATGTGTAAATGTGACATTGCTTCTGAAAGGGTTGCTGCCATTTGAAACCAGTGACTCTGCATTTACATGACCTTGAGTTCCTCAGAGACACCTTAAGGTACTTTCATGTCCCTCATTTCATTTTGAATTCCCCAGACTGCGATTCCTGAGTAAAGCAACAATCCTGCAAATGGACACAAACATGCTTTGTATGAGCATATCTCATGTTACTCAAAACAGCTCAAGTGTTGAACCTGAGAATGAGATAATTTCATTCTAGAATGAGTATTTTCCTGCAGGGAGCTGTTCTACAACCTGTCGCATGCTCTAAATTAACCTTAATGTTAATTCCAGTTAACTCGCAAGTCTAGATGTGCCCCTGTTAAGCATTTATCAATGCTTATTGTACTTCTCCTTCCTAGAAATAGGTGTGAAATATAGAAGAGCTGAAAGAAGTCTTTCTAAAGCAAGTACAAAGTCTGGGATACAGCTTTAAAAGTGCCCAGTAGGCTCACTGTAAATGAAACCTTGGAAATATTGTTCAACACTGAAATATTAGGCAAACATTGTCAGAAGAAGATTAATTTGAACTTGAGAATTAACTTAAAAGAAGGCTGTAAAATTCCTATAGTGATGATCGGGATTTATCATATAAATAGCTATAACATCTGTAGGGGACGCACATTCTTCATATCAAGACTAACAGTTCCATCTGAGAAACTTTTTTCTCTGCTGATTTTATAAGTCTAGCTGGCAGAGTTTCTGTCTCAGAGGCCAGGGGATTAGCTTCATGCTGTTAGAAGATCTTATGAAATGAAACAATTTTGCTTTCCTGTCATAATATGATGGATTTCTCTGGTACTGAAAATAGATTTTTCTAAAAAAAGTACTTGAAAGCAAGAAAGGTTGTAAAAAAAAATAGTTTTTCTCAAAATTTGTGAAGGAACAAAGTAAACCACAAAAAGCACAGCTGAATCAATTTTGTTCCAATTATGAGTATTTTGGGAGTGTCTAAAACGCTTCTAGTGTTATGTGCTTGGTTAGCAAATTTTAAAGGCTCGCATTTGCTTTTGGTGCAGAGCAATACAAGGCTGATAAGAGTGAATTTAAATTACAAGAAACATCTTAGAATAGTAAGTTGAGGAATTTATTTATTTTTTAATTATGATACAAATAGAGGGCTTTTTTAAGTGGTGTTTGATAGCAGGGAGAACTTGTAGATCTCAAAAGATGTCACTGAATGCTGTTATAATCCTAATTTAGGAATAGAAAAATAAGCGTAGACAACTCAGACAACTGTCTTGGCACGTCCTCTGCTTACCAGTGAATGGGAGAGGTGAATTTCCTAGTGCCTGCAGAGAGGGCTGGAGTTTCCTTGGGGCACCCTCTGAAACATTTGTTGTATCCTGCATGTCACTGTGGCTGTAAGCTCTATGATATTCAAGTGATAGCGTTGGCGGTGAAGTTACGAAGGGGAAGAAATCTGAGTTCTGTGTTAAAAAGAAGGGACAAGTCCCTGGATAATGCACTCGGACTCCAGTGGAGTCTCTATTGTGTGCATGTCACTCAGATGGTTGAACGGAGGAAGTCAAGGCGAGCAGAGTGTGGTGGTGAATGACAATGGTGAAAGCTCTGTGCTTTAGTGATGCCTCTGAGCACTGGCAGAAGAGAGAGGTGTGCCCAAGGGGCAGGCTGCCTTCAGCCGTGTTCTTCATTGCTTCCTGTGCCAGCTGGCACTCCTCTCAGAAGAGATGTATCGATGTGCATCTCCAAAAAACAGTTCTCTCTCCCTGCTTGACTGAACCAAACATCTATACAGATTAAGCAAAATGTACAGATTATCTGTGTGATTTTGTATCTCCATTTGTGTACATACTTTGGAAAATTGTCTGATTAGCATCAGGAATTAAGCTATAATAGCTGCCCATGTAACTAGAACTACATCCACCAGCTTTTGTTGGATTCTTGCCACCCCAGAAATCAAATACAAAGCAAGCTGTAGAGATCCCGACAGTTTCTGGAATTTCCTTCACTTGTCTGGAATCACAGTGTCTACTCATGATACTGTAGGTTTTTCTCCTGTCTGCATGTTGTTTTTTGCACTAGAAAGAGTGTATCCTTGTGTCTTCAGCTCTGCACAGTGCT